TTTGGATTTCAAAGCTAAGAGTGAAATAAAAGGGCAATACAGAACATGTCAAATAAAACTGGAGGTCATGGATCAAAGGGAAGCTGCTGTGAAATTAAAGAGGGAGCAAACTGAAACTTGGAAGAGCAGAGAGTAGCAGAGGCTTAGGTGTAAAACAGTGATTTAAAATCTAGATGTAGGGAGGAATACTTCCAGCATGATACCATGAAGATCTCTGCAGACCCACTTCTCAGTGAAGCTGGTAAGAATTTGTAAAAAATGAAAAACCAAGCAAAGTCTCTTGAAACAGTCCTAAGGGCATATGGCAAACAAAGAAACATCTACATAAGAAAATCTACTAAAATTCAGTAAGAACAGCGAGAGTCTGAAGCAGTTGAATCCAAACTGTTTCCTTTATCCCCTCTCCTACCTCTTCTGCACACTGATAGGGCCAAGAGCCCAGGATACTCTCTCCCCTCAGCTCCCATTCAGACATCTTTTAGGAATCTCATTATATGCATGTTGGTGTACTTATTGGTGCCTCACTTTTCTCTGAGGCTCCATTCAATTTTTCTTCATTCTTTTTTTCCCCTCTGTTCTTCTGATAGCATAATCTCTATTGATCTGGCTTCAAGTTCACTAATTCTTTCTTCTGACAGCTTGAATCTACTGTTGAACCACTCCAGTGACTTTTCCATTTCCATTATTATGCTTTCAACTCCACAATTTCCATTTGATTTTTTTTTGTAATTTCCATCTCTTTATTGATACTCTCTACTTAATGTGATATTGTCATAACTTCCTTGACTTCTTTAACAATGGCTTTCTCTAGTTCTTGGAACATATTCATAGTGGCTACTTTGAAGTCTTTGTTCAATCTGATATCTAGTCACTCTCATAAGCAGATTCTGTTGCCTGTTTTTTTTTCCCCAATTTATGGATCACACTTTCCTGTTCACATGTATGTCTCACAAATTTTTGTTAGAAACTCAACATTTTAGATAATAAATTGTAGCAACTCTGTGTCATCCCCCCAAGGGCTTTTTATTGTTATTTGCTTGGTTTTTTTGTTGTTGTTTAGTAAATGGTTGGATAATTTTAGTAAAATCTATTCCACCCGGCAAAGTTAAGCATTGTTAAGCAGTGCACCCCAGGAGGACGAATATCAGATTAACATTGCTTAACAACGTTACCCTGGAATGACAGTTGTTTTTCAGGGCAAAAGAAAAATATTTAAAGAAATAATGGTCAAAACTCTCCAAATATATTTTTAAAAACATTAAGCTACACACTTAGGAAGCTCAATGAATTCCAAGTAAAATAAGCACAAGAAATTGATAGACATATCATAGTAAAGACTCTAAAAGCTACATAAAAGTATAAAGCCTTGAAAGACAGCAAGAGAAAAATGACTCATCACTTATAAGTGTGTTCTTATAAGATTAAAACTGAGTTGTCATCAGAAACAATGGAGTAGAGGCTAGAAGGCAGTGGAATAACATATTCAAAGTGCTCAAAGAGAAATGAAAACTGTCAACCATGAATCTTATGTATAGCAATCTTGAAAAATAAGAACAAAGTTGGGGCTCTCACACTTTCAGATTTCAAAACTCACTACAAAGCAATGATAATCAGGATAGTGTGGTACTTCCATAAGAACACACATATAGATCAATGGAATAGAAATGAGAGTCCAGCAATAAATGCATATACCTGTGGTCAACCGGTTTTTGACAAGGGTCTCAAGGACATTAAATGTGAAAAGAATAGCCTTTTCAACAAATCATGCTGAACACCTGGATGTCCGCATGAGAAAAAAGAATATTATTTGGACCCCTACCTCACACTCTATTAAAATTAATTTAAAATGGATCAAAGTCTTAAATGTAAGAATTAAAACTATAAAACTCTTAGATGAAAACATAGGAGTAAATTTTTGTGACCTTGGATTAGGCAATCAGTTTCTTACATATGACATCAAAAGCATAAATAACAAAAGACAAAACAGTTAAATTTGACTTCTTTGAAATTAAAAAAAGTCTTTTGTGCTGCAAAGAACACTGTGAAAATGAAAAGACAGCTTAAAGAATGGGAAAAAATATTTGCAAATTATATATCCAATAGGTGACTTTTATCTAGAATACACAGTTGACCCTTGAACAACATAGGTTTGAACTGTGTGGATCCACTTATACATGGATTGTCTTCCCTCACCCTCCACCACCCCTGAGACAGCAAGACCAACCTCTCCTCCACTTCCTACTCCTCCTAACCCTATTCAATATGAAGATGATGAGGATGAAGGCCTTTATGCTGATCCACTTCCACTTAATGAATAGTAAATATAGTTGCCTTCCTTATGACAGTCCCCACACCCTGGATGCAGAGAACATGTGCTTGAAATTGAGCTTCTTCATGAATGTCAACTTAATGCACTTCTTATATGTGTACCACACCCCACCCCAATCCTGTTGTCCTGAGTAACATTTGGATACTTCTGGACACCAATTTGTATTTTGCAACTGTATTCTCAAAACCTATGTCAGCTAAAGACACTTCCCATTCACCTTTGATCCATCTCCTTCCTTTCAGACCTCGGTTCCCATCCTCTACTCTTATATATTGAATAAAATATCACTACTAATGCTGAATGAAATGGACACTTATTTAAAAGGTTTCCACAGATGTTAGTCCTATTTCCACCTGCCAACATGGTGAGAACAACTACGGCTCTTGCATAGCAAAGATAAGTGAAGGTGAGCAGAAGTTGGCACTCATGTGTTGTGGTCGGAGGATAAACTGGTACAATAATTTTGAAGGACAATTTGATAATATCTATTAACATTTTAAATGCCCATTAACTAACTGATCCTACTTCTAGAAATTTATCCTATCAACACCTGCATATACGTGTGCTCACAGCATGTTTTTTAGCTTGCCTCTGTGGCTTCTGGGTCAATGTTGAATGGCAGTAAGAAAGCAGGCCCTAATGTCTACTTCTGTTAGGCGGCTCTTCATCCTCAATGTAAGCTATCTGCAAGGCTACTATTACCACCAGATGAGTGGTTGTGCAGTAACAAGAAGAAACATCAACTGTTGGTCAATTGGTTAAAAAAGACAGGACCTAAACTCTACTTCTATGAGCTCCAATTTGTTTTAGCTCCCACGTGAGTGAGAAATGCAAAGAAATGATAAATTTTTGAGGTGATAGATATGCTAATTACCTTGATTTGATCATTACACGGTGTATATACATATTGAAATATCACTCTGGATCCCATACGTATGTACAATTATTACATGTCAACTAAAAATGAAAGAGAACAAAAAGAAGGGCCCTACAAAGATGGAAAATAAAGCCTGTTACCTTAAATTTAATTATGTCTTCTGTTTTTGAGACTATAGTCTAGAACATTGGTTTTTCCAGTGACAATTCGTGTTGCCCAGGATGTTAAACTCATCTCCTGGCTATAGCCAAGAGATCCATCATGGGTATATTCTATTTGACCAAATTAAGTGAAGAATTTACTTAAGAAAAATTCGCTGAAGAAAATGAACAAAAAGAGATTAGTTTTTCATCTAAAAAACTGAAGTAAAAAGTAAAAGGCCAGTAGGTCCAGAGAAGCATAGGGTACATATTTGTTTTAAAATATGCTCCCAAATTCTTTGATATTCTTCCCTTTGAGAGGTGGAACTTTATCTTCCTTCCCTTAAGTGTGCGATGGACTTAATGACTCTCTTGTAATGAATGGTAGAAGTGGTGGTGTGTGACTAGGTTATCGAAGACATTGTGTCATGCTCCTTGCTTTCTCGTGGATCCTTTGCTCTGGTGGAAGCCTGGTGTCGTGAGGACACTCAGGCAGCCTATGGAGAAGTTCCATTGCCAAGGAACTGAGGCTTCCTGCCAGCCCCGGCTGACCTCTTGATAGCAATTATGAGAGAGACTCTGAGCCATAAACACCTAGTAAACCCCTCCCAAATTACTGACTCTCAGAAACTGTGAAATGATAAATACTTATTCCTTTAAGCAGATAAGTTTTGGGGACAATTTATTATGCAGCAATAGCTATCCAACACAAAGAGGGGAAAATCAACTGGAGGTTAACAAAGAAGGTATTTCACTGATGAATGTTCCCCCCCATCCTATACTCAGGAATGGCTTTATTAAGCCCCATTAGCAAAGACTGTGCCATACAGGATCTACTATGCCAAGAAATATCACTATTATAGTTGGGGGTTAGATATTAGTTTATGGTAAATTATTTGGTGTAATAGGATAATCTGAAGAAATTTAAGTTACAGGAATCTTCTGATGCTTTCTAAGTAGCATTCATTTGCCCTATATTTTACTTTAAATTTTCATCTTTCTCATAGCCTCATCACCAAAAAGATGTGATCTTTGACATTTCACATACATTCCAAGTGAAACCTCATCAACTGAAATGAAAAATCCAAAGCTTTAACAATTGAAAATATGTTCTAATTTTGGTATACTAATTTTGAACTCCACATTTTCAAAGATAAGCACAATATATTTTATATTTTTAGCACCAGTGCCTCCTTGCCTCTTTCTTTTTGACTCCAGACATTCTAATATTATTGCCTATCTCTAGCATCTAGAGTGTCTGGCATGAATTCAACTAAGGGATATTTTTAAGCTTATGTCTTCCTTAGATCACTTTGCATTTTTCACTTAAGTTCTTTTTTATTTTGCAACAAATGTGTGTGTTTTCAGTTATATTAAATGAATATTGTTAAATAAAAAAATATATATACACAATTCATAGATACCCAACAATCTAATTTTTTGCTGACAGGAAATATATTCCAAACTTTAATATAAAATCAATTGACTTCTTCCATTACTTTTAAATTTCTTCTCCACTCAGCTGACATTTTGTGCTCTCTACTCAGTCTACAATAGAATATACTTCACATAATAATACATCAATGATATTTTCCTTTTTAAAAAAACAGTAACATTTAAGTAACCTTTAAATAATGGAGCAATAAGCTTGTATCATTTTGCAAAGCATATTATATCACTTAAAGCAGAGATGAGAACAGGATAATTTCCTCTCCTCTAAATTTGTAATTTTTACTTGATTAATTAATTAATTCTATCTATCCTTTGTTAAATACATTTAATTTCCATGTGATTTAGAGAGTAAAATATTAACACCAAGATTAATATTGCTACTATGTGATCTTTGTACCTGCAATGTTGATAAAAGGAGCAAATTAACATGGGGAATCAGGATGCATAAGCAGAAATATTAAAATTAAAATATTACTAGCTAAGTTTTACCACTTGTTCCAGGCACATATACATAAATACAGATTTTTTTAGAATTTCTCAACAGAGCATGAAATGTAGGTAATATAAAGATATTGGGACCTAACTGACAATATCACATAGTTCTGTGTTGACCACAATATGTAAACATGTACTCGTGGGTTTTTCCTCTTTGTCACCTTTATTTAAAAATATGCTGGAGACCTATAAAAACCTCAAATTCCACATGTTCAAATCTAAATTCACCTTGACCCACCAAATCTGATCCTTGTCTTATGTTCTCCATGTCAGTGAATAACATTACCATCTACCCAGTTCAATGGCCAGAAACCTGGATTCCATCCTTAACCCTTTCTTCTCCATCACACTGACACCCAATCACCGAGCCCTACATTTCACACCTGCTAAGTATCTTTTGAATCAGTTCTTTTCACTCCATCATCACCAATATGCTCCTGCTTTAGAACATCCACCCCTCTCACCTGGATGATGGCAACAACCTACCAAATGGTGTCCCTGCTTCCAGTCACACCCACTCCAAGAGTAGCCACAGTGATCTCCTAAAATGTAAATCTGTGTGTGTCATTCTGATACTCTGGAACCTTGAATGGTTCCCCACTGCCCTGATAATCAAGTGTGACTTCTCCATGAGGCTGAAAGTTCCTCATGACCCAGGACCCTCCTTCTCTCTTCAGCCTCTTTTATTGCCACTCCCACCCCTCTGTTCCTCTCCACCCCTTGCACTGTGGTAGGAGGTCTTCTCTCTCCCTCCTGGCCTTTGCAAATGCTGTCCCTTCTGCCCCCAGCCCTCTGCTCTCCCCACCTGCACCCCTCCACAGGTCCACTCCAATCCACCCTGTAGGTTTTAATTCAGATGCCCCTTCCTCCTGATGTCTTCCCTCTCAGCCAAAGGCTGGTTAGGTGGCCCTCCTCTATGCTCCCCTAGCATCCTACTCCCTCCAACACACCCTTTACAATCCCATTTTCATCACACACAGCAGCATTCCCCAATCTTTTTGGCACCAGGGACTAGTTTCATGGAAGATAATTTTTCCAAGGACGGTGGGGGTTGGGGGGAGAGGGATGGCAAGCGATGAGGAGTGACTGTAAATACAGATGAAGCTTTGCTTGCTAGCCCACCGCTCACCTCCTGCTGCATGGCCAGGCTTCTAACAGGCCATGGACCGATATCGGTCCACCGCCCAGGGGTTGGGGACCACAGAGATACAGGACACAATGACATAATCTGAATCATCCACCGGACTGTAAGCTCCAGGATGGCCAGCGCTGCCTTTCTGTCTCGTGTGCTACTGAATCCCCAGGGTCTGGCACAGTGCCTGGCTCTTCACAGGTACTCGTATGTATCGGCTGAATGAATAAATTCTAAGATGTGGAAAGAAACATAGTTGCTAAGCCCTTGCACTATATTAGCTATTGATGGATCAAACATTTATATTTTATAACTTGGACAGTTCTCAACTTATTTTCATTTCTTATGTCTCTTTTATGGTTTCAGTAATTAATAGTCTCTTCAAAGTGCCAACATGTTGAAACTGTGCCTGAGGGAGTCAGGGGAGAGGTTTCTGGACACTTCTAGGCCAATGATTTAATGATGGGGGTTGGGGCAGGGAGCATTGGTAACAATGCATGAAAACCCTAAGGGGGAATAAAACAGAGGAGCCCTGGGGCTACGTGGTCCTGCTGCCTTTCTCCACTTGGACTTTCTCCTTCTAGAACTAACTCCTGTGGTATCTGGGCCAGTGATACTCAAACTTCAGTGTGTCTAGCACTCACCTGGAAAGCTTGTTAAATATGCAGCCCAGGCATTTCTGCTGCAGATGGTCTGCTTACTACACTTTGAGAAACACTGTACTAGGTTTTGATTTAATGAAGTAGATATTTCCTTTATACCGTGGAAAAAAATAAACTCTCTTAAAGGAGCTGAAGAGAGTATATTACTAAAATATCAAGTTTGAATGAGGCTCTTATGTCATAAAAGCAACTGAAGAGGACACGAAAGTGACCTCTGGACCCATAACATCACAGATCCCATTGATTAAATTTTACCAGGAAAAATCAGCCCTAATCCAGAGTATACAAATGCCTACGGTTTTCCTATGTAACATTCTCAGTCAAAAGCTTCCTTAGAAGGATCATCAGTTTAAGGGGTTCCTAATCCTATTCTATCCAAAGTGCTTTGTTTCCTGCCATTCCCAGAGAGATTTCCTCCCCTTCCTCTTTATCTGAGTAGTCCATTTCCATTGCATAATTGATGCTTCTAACCCAAACCAAACCCTTGAGCTCTCAAAACAGAAACAAAAGAAAGAAAACCCTTGCCTTACCAGGGTCCAGAAAGGGCTGGCATTCTGCAGCAGCACCATAGTTCAGCTCCTGCGGCCCTGCCTGTGGGATCCACGTCTCTGCCACTGGGGTCTCTTGGGCTGGTCCCATTACCTGGAGTGCAGGTGACTCTAGGTGCATGTTTGGTGGTATGTGTGCTGTTCCCACTGGTGCCAGTTCTTCCAAGAGCATGTCATGCATATTGACCTGGGGAAAATGCCAGAACTCATCACTCTAAAGTCTAGACCAGCACTATCCAGTAGAATTGTAAAGGCAGCCATGCATGTAATTTTAAATTTTCTAGTGCCCATATGAATAAAATTTAAAAAGGTCAATATTAATAGTATGTATTACTTAATCCAATGCAAGCTATCAGGATTTCAATGTGTAATCAATATAAACAATTATTAGTAAGATAGTTCACCTGCTTTTTTTCACATCAAGTCTTTTGCATGTGGTGTGTGTTTTACACTTACATCAAATCTCAATTTGCACTGGCCACATTTCAAGTGCTCAAGAGCCACACATGGCTAGTAGCTACTAGGCAGGACACATCTAGACCACATGAAGATAAGATCTTATATAGTAAAGAAAAGCAAGAAGACAGAGAAAGGAAGAGAAATCACCAACCCATGGTCTCTAGGGAGGCAGGAAACTTTGGAAGCTACCTGTCCTGAAGCTAACAGCTCCTGCAGAGCACCTCCACACACAAGATCGGACTGTCCTGATGCCCATCTGGAAGCTCTTGCTCCTTTGCCCTAGACACACTGCCTTCTGCTCAGCCATGGCACTCCCCAAGCAGAGGTTTCACGTGGTGGTTCTGAACAGTGGGCAGTGCCACCATCCCTACCTGGAGTTTTGGATATGCTGGCAGGTGGTAGCTATCAGAATTTAGTGGGGCACACTTCATAATGCAGAATTGTTCCAGATCCCTACTGTGGAATGTCCCCTTCAAGTATTTATGTAGGTAAAACGAACCTGTCAAGAATCCCACCCTTTTCGTCAGATAAATACAAAATGATTTTTTTTTTAAATCTGGGATTTTTTTCCTTTTTTTTTATGTCAGAATATTATGGGGGTACAAGAGATAAATATAAAATGTTTTTGCATATTTTAGCATGACTTGAATTTTCTAGGAATGCACTACTGGGAAAATCAAAGGACGACTATAATGCTTACTGTTCAGATTTACCAAGATTCATATATCACTTTGGAAAATCACATGACGATCAGCAACACTGCTCACAGTACTTGAATTGTCTGTGATCAGTACTTGATCAGTCTGAATTTCCGGCTGTCGCATTGTAGCGACTCTGAGCAAAGATGCAGGTATCTGACAACTTCATGATATTTAGTCAAGTCCAAACATGTATATGCAGAAATGCATATTAGTTTATAACAAACTATGTTCCTTTTCCTTTATATCTCTCCTAGACTCTACTTGACCCAGAGTTGGCAAACTTTTTCTGTAAAGAGCCAATAATAAATATTCTTGGCTTTGTGGGCCACATTCATTTTTAGTTCTCCTTCTTCCTCTTTTTTAAAAAAATAACCCTTTAACAAGGTAAAAACCACTATAAGCTCACAGGGTATATAAAATCAGGCCACGGCCAGATTAGGCCTGTGGGCCATAGAGCACTATAGTGATGCTTTCGTTTGATGTATGCAGGTAGGTTATGTTATCTTTGAATTTCATTTAAGAATAGTACCGGGGACATCACACACCATTTGTTATAGAAGGGGGAATTGCATCTGACAGGCATAGAAGCAACTGACCCATGAGCTGTTTCCAGCAGAGGAGAAAAATGAAAGGGGCTGTGGGGAAATCCTAGGGCTGGGGAACCACACAGAGACGAAATGTCTGGTCTAGTCCTAGCTGCCTCGGCTATTTCCTTTGGGCTAATTACAAAGATCCTGAACTCTTATCTTACCTGTTGCTCTGGTATTTCAAGTTCTCTCTGTAAGTCTTCTATCAGTGACACAGCTCTTTCTCTATTCTCTGGGCAGTGTTCCCTCACCCAGGTCTCTATCTCCGTGGGCAGGATGGTTAGGAATTGCTCCAATACCAGCAGCTCCAGGATTTGTTCCTTAGAGCGCAGCTTTGGCTTCAGCCATTGACAGCAAAGTTCCCAGAGTTTGTTGAAAGCCTCATGTGGTCCGGCTGCTTCTCTGTACTGGAACTGCCTGAAGCGCTGACGGAAGACTTCACAGTCAGTATCATACTCTTGAAACACGGAGCCCTGATTCAAGGAGGCCTGGATTGCACAACCCAGGGCCACAGCCATCGCCCTCTTCCAGCAGTTTACAGTTTATCTAGAGCCTGATGTCTCAGATTCTAATTTGTTTCTCTCTGAAATCGTCAGGGGTCAGGGGAGGTACCTACAGCTGAAGATAGAAAAACATGAGAAAGAAGAAACAACAGTGGTTACAAGAGGTCATATTTACCACCCTTAACTACCTTAAGTTTCACCAAAGCCCTAAAGCAGCAGTTAGTAATCTTTTGGGTAGATTTGAGAATCTGATGAAAGCTACAGACTCACTTCCTAGAAAAATACACATACACATCCAATTCTGCATCCAGTTTCAAAAGCTTACAAAATCTCAAACCTCATCCATGGACCCTCTAGAACTGTGCTGTCCAATATGGTAGCCACGTGACACTTTAAGTTTAGCCAAAAATAAAAATTTAGTTTCTCAGTCATAGTTGTGAAATTTCTAATGCTCAATAGACATCACTGCAGAAAGTTGTATTGGGCAGCTCTGCTCTAGAATTCCATGGTCCCAGGCTAAGAACACTTACTTTAAATGAACCCCTATAAATCTGTTGGCATTTACCCCACTCCCAGTTTAACACCAACTGTCCTGTGTTTCTGAATACATATAGGTCTCAAAAGAAACAGAACAGGAGTATTAACAATATTTTTGAATAACTCTTAAAGCTTTAAGTATCCCTAAATAGCCTTCAATCAAAGTGAACTTAGTGTCATGCTTTGCAAGAGCAGCAACTCATCAATCTTTCATTCGTCTCCATTCAAGGCATGTGTAATTCAGCCAACATCACTAAGACCCTCAACCTGCCATAGCATTCCTAGTGGCTCTCCTATGAGAAAAATACACTGCAATAGGGGGACCATTAGGAATTTGCTCTGCATTCCTAAATAAGGATATTTCTCGAGTTCACACTATGGGCCAGGTACTCTTCTAAGCATCCTACATATATTAGTTCATTTAACCCTCACCCAAGGTTAGGAGCTTGGTACCTGTATTATCCCCTGGATACAAATGCAGGAACTGAGGTTTTGAGGCTTACGGGGACTGAAGAACTTTTCCAAAGTTACATGGTATATGTCAGAGGAAAATGGTGATGAGGTTAAAACTGCCATTCTCCTGCGATTTGAATGTCTAAAAACATCAAATTGTTTTTAGTGTAATCACTGAGAAGTGGCCACATACACGTCTCCATGGGTTTCAAGACCTGTACCTGCCCCTGTGCCGTAGGTTCTCTCTCTCTGGATTTTCTGAGACAGCTCCGGTAGCTATGCTCTTCTCTGGAGGTGATTCAAGGAAAAAAATACTCATAACTCTCTTCCGACCCAGTCAACCAAAATCAACACTCTGCCCCCATTTCACCCTTTACCATGATGGTAGCCTGACTTTAGAGGCAGACTGATGGAGGTGTGATAACCTATTAGCTCTGTGACCCTGACACACAGTGCTCCTATCTGTTATGTGAGGATAATCATAGCATCTATTTCCTTAAATGTTCTGTGTGGATCCAATTGCATAGAAAGCGAATAGTAGCGTGCCTGGCACAGAAGAAGCACTCAATTAAAGTTTATTGCTTGTCAAGACTCATTCCTAGGAAGCTTCTATTTCCCAGAGTCTAGGCACCTAACCATTGCTGGAGGACATCCAGGAACTGTGCTGTTTTTGGCTGTGGACCCACCCATTAATCCGCTCCAGCCTCACAGCTGGCCAATCCTCCCCTGACTGACCCAAAACCTTCCACCACGTCTACCAGGGAATTGACCCTCTGGGTTTCCTCTAATCGGCCCTTCCCAGTGAAAAGTTCACTTCACTGTGGGACTAGTGCTTTCTTCCCAAACCTCCCTGTAGTGAATCCGCCCCCACAGGGCCTATGAGTAAAGCGATGTATGAAAAGAGGGCACTTGGGGAAGAGCAAGAGTGACACGTCCCTGAAAAGTCTAAAAGCTGGTTTAAAATCGGATGCTGGTGTCCCGGGAGTGGACCCCTAGCGCTCCTGGGCAACGACGTCCCTCCGCCCAGAGGGGCGCTCTCAGCCCTAGAGAACTCCCAGGAAGGCCCGGTCGAGTCGCAAGGAGCGGCGGCGAGGACCCTAGCCGGATAGGGGCCCGCCGCCCATCGCTCCTCCCGGTGTCCACCGCCCGGGACACAGCTGGAACCAGCCAGCTCGCGTGGCCAGGCTGGCAAAAGGAGCCCCGCTACCCGCGACCGCGCCCGCGCCCCAGGGACAGCCACGCCCTCTGGCCGCTCCGGGACTCACCGCCTCAGCGCCCACGGCTCTCCCAAGCTCACCGGCAACTACCCACGGCGCAGGCGCGGGGCTGCGCAGCCGACTACAACTCCCAGCAGGCCGCACGCCGCCCGCCGCGCTGTGCGCCCACAAGGATGCTGACGTGGGAGGGGCTAGGACTCTTTCTGGCTTCCAACCAGCCTCAAGCCGCTTTGGAGATGTTCCCATTTCCGGTCTAAGCGCTTCTTGGTCCCAGGGTGTTGGGTGGGGCGAACCCGGGTCATGGTCCAAGTGAGGGCTTCTCCCCATCAGCCTTTGAGTAATTGGAGCAGGTGGGGACCTCCTTTAAATTTGTTATGACCTGGTCAGTGATTCTCAAACCTGTGTGGGGAGAATTTCGTAGGAGAGCTTGTTAAAAATTCAGATTTCTGGGCTCTACCCAACACCGTAATGCATTGAGTCTCGCATGAGCTTGGGGATTCGCATTTTAATGAACTTTCCTGGGGACTTTGACTCTGGTCGTCTGCCCGCGGGTCACAATGGCTTTGGGTTTGCTTCTTAGTTTCCTCTCTTGAAGACCTGAGCTTGAATCTAGCGACCCCGCCCATTCCTTACTGCCTTCAACAGCCACCAGAGGTCTCTCCGGTCTTAGGGTTTGCCCACTAGCCCCGCCTCTTGCCCTCCAATTGGTCCCTCGATGGTCCCGCCCCAAAAGCAAATGTTCTCTTCTGATTGGTCAGTGGCGAGTTGTGGCGAGACCCGATCCAATGGCCGCCAGATGCAATTGTGTCTTTTGGGAAACGTAGTCCTCCCGTTGGTCCTAAACTGGCATTGTAGGTTTGTGGACAACAAACTTTAGTGCTAGGACTTCCTGCGTTGTGACTGGGATGTGGTCCTGCGTGGGTCCAAGACAGGAGAAAGCTGCCTGCTCTTGTGCCTCCGGAGGTCCTGGTGGAAATGATCCGGGCGACAGGCGCTGCAGCGTCCCGGGCCCACTTGTGCCAAACTACTGGAGACAGCTCTGCCCGGTGTGGAGTTGGGCTTATCGGCTGGAAATTGGCTCCCTGGCACCCCGACTCCTTCCGAAGCCGACATTCTTCTCTCGGGACCCCAGGCGCCTTCACCGGCGGGCTCAGCTGGTTTTGGGGCCAAGGTGGCCCGGGAGCCTGGCAGTGGCGTCTGGCCTGGGCTTCCACGAATGGAAAGGGCTCCTGTGATAGTGAAACCGCGGGAGTTTCTGCACCTAGAGTCAGGAACTTCTGCTGTCCTTGCCCGACGTAGGGCCCAGCCTGGAGGCCTCCCACCTATACTTCTGAGGGTTCTGCTTCCAAAAGGCTGCTGATCCCTCAGGGGGCTCCTGGAGCTTCGCTATGGGCTGCTTTGGCCTGAGATGCGCCATACAGATTAGATCTTGGAGTTGCTTGCTGAGTGTTGGAGCAGTTACTGACCATCCTGTCCCAGGAGATCCACAGCAGGATGTAGAAGCTGCAACCGGAGAGCTACGAAGAAGCTGTGACTCCTTTAAACTATTTAATATATGTATGACTTTTTAAGCGAGATCTTGTGAGACTGAGGAAATAGGTGAGTTGAGAGGGAGGTTTTATCTGCAATTTGGTTGGTCCGTAGGACTGAGACATCTCTCTGTCTTCGTTCCCTATTCGTATTTTCTTCATTGCCCTGAGTAGGCTTTACACGGACCAGTGATTTTTTTTTTTTTTTTTTTGTAGTCTTATCTGGAACATTTGTCCTCCAGATTTCCCCCCAAGTGCAGTGAAGAGTGTGGTATTGCTTTTGGCTTCCACAAGGAGGCAGTGTCACTGCCATAGTTAGTGCCAGCTGTGGCGTTAGCTCGAAGGCAGCTTTTCAACTCCTGGCTCTGCTGCCTACAAGCTGTGCTACTTTGGGCAAGTGACTCTTTCTCGCTGGGCCCCACTTTCCCCATTGGTAAAACGGCAGTGGTAAAAGGCCCTTCTGCGGTTGTTAGGGTGATTAAAGGGAGAGCAGCGTGTACATGTTGATCACACAGCTGGCACGCAGTGCTTGAAACTGTGAACTGTTGTTATGTTAGGGGCAGTTGTCAGATCTCTGCAGAGCTGGGTCTCAGTTAAATGTGAACTTAAAAACAGTTTGGCACTGAGGCTTTGAGGTCATTGTCCCCAGGGCCACCCAAGTTAGCTTGTCTAGTCTCAAGGAACAGGAGTGTGTGGAGAAGGGGGAGAGGGACAAAAGACCTATGAGGGACATGTATGTATTGGAAGGGGCCCCTCCCCACACCCTCCACACACAATCACAGACACACATTCACTCATGGACGTGGCGTAAAAAAACCTCGACTTTAAAGATCCCTTTCTCTTGTTGTATCCAAAGGGACAGACAGTGATTTCCTGTTGAGGGTTTGCCCTGAGATTCCTGTAATAATTTCCCTTTCTATTGGGCCCTGTGCTGATGAAAAGTGATGGCAAGTTAGTTCCTAGATCACAAATCATGGGCTGAGAGCAGAAGTGCTTTTGGAAGAGCCTGTGCCTTAGGAAACAGCATGAAAGTGTCAACGGAAAAAAAGACCAAACTCTGTAAAGTAATTTTAAAGAGATTTATTCTGAGCCAAATTTGAGGACCATGACCCGGAGCCACGCCCAAGAGGCCTTGAGCAGTGGACTCCCAGAGGTTGGGTTACAGTTTGGTTTTATATATTTTAGGGAGACAGGGGTTACAGGTGAAGTCATAAATCAGTACGTGGGAGGCATACATTGGTTTGGCCCGAAAAGGTGGGCCATCTCGAAGCGGGGGCTTACAGGTTATAGATGGGTTAAAAGATTCTTTGGCCTGTAATTGGCTAAAGACATGAAGCTTTGTGTAAAGGCTTGGAATGTTTTAACATAAGGAGCTCTTTATCAGAGATAAGCCACTGGACATAGATTTGTTTTGTAAATTGAGGACCTGCAGGTTTGTCTTGCATACCCTTAGGCCTGTTAGTGGGTTATAAAGGATGTCACCAAGAAGGGAGGGGGGCATGATAAGGCATGTCTGACCTCCTTCCTCCTGGCAGGCAATTTAGTTTTAGGGTATTCCTTAGGCCACGAGGGGGTCCGTTTAGTCAGCCGGTGGGGGGGGGTGAGCCTTAAAATTTTATTTTAGTTCACAAAAGTCACTGAGTCAACTGGATACTGAGATAAAACTGGAGCCAATGGATACTGAGAGATGGCCTAAAGTGTAGAGTAGTTGCTACTTTTTGTTAGTAGGTCCAATCAGCATATCATCAATGTAATAGACTAGTGTGTTGTCTTGTGTAAGAGAAAGGTGACCAAGATCCCTGCAAACTAAATTATGACATAGGGCTGCAAAATTGATATACAGTACTCCTGAGGTAAGACAGTGTAGGTATATTGCTGGTCTTGCCGGCTGAAAGCAAACTACCTCTGGTGGCCTTTGCTATTAATAACAGTTACTGAGAAAAAAAGCGTTTTCAAGATCAATAGCTGCATACCAGGGTCCAGGGGATGTATTAATTTGCTCAAGCAATGAAACCACATCTGGAATAGCAGCTGCAATTGGAGTCACTACCTGGTTAAGTTTACAGTGATTCACTGTCACCTTCCAAGATCCATCTGTCTTCTGCACAGGCCAAATAGGTGAGTTGAATGGGAATATGGTAGAAGTCACCACCCCTGCACATTTGAAGTTCTTGATGGTATTACTAATCTCTGCAATCCCTCCAGGAATGTGGTATTGCTCTCGGTTTACTATTTTCCTAGGTAAAGACACTTCTAGTGGCTTCCACTTGGGTTTTCCTACAATAGTCTGCAGACCTCACTCCACAGGTCAGGGAAACAATGCGAGGATTATGCCAGTTGCTGAGTATGTCTATTCCAATTATACATTCTAGAACTGGGGAAATAACTGCAGGATGGGTTCAGAAACCAGGTAGACCCACTGTGGGACAGACTTAGGCCAAAACTCCATTAATCACCTGACCTGCATTAGCCACTACTCTGAATGGTGAACCACAGTGACATTTTGGGTCTCCTGGAATCAGTGTCAGTTCAGAAGCAATGTTAAGTAATCCCTGAAAAGTCTGATTATTTCCTTTTTCCTACTGCTCATTCACCCCTAAGGGACCCTAAGGCCATAGGTCCCTTTGTGGAAGGCTGGAAGAAAGATTAGCAGTATATATTTTTGGCAGCATAGTGGAGTCCTTCCTCAAGGGGATGCAACCTCCCCTTTATTCACAGGATTCAAGGTCTGTAAATTAGCTCAAATATGTGAATTGATTGAGGGGCTGTGTCTCTGTTTCGGCGATTCAAGTTAGACTTCTGTTCACTTGATCTAGAACTTATCCACTTGTACGGATCAAGTAAGAATTTAGTAGACTGCCTATCTTTCTCTTCAAGGGACACCACGATCAACTAGCCAATGCCATAAGCTTCTGCGAGTCAGGCTATTCTTATTGCTGCTTTGAACCTGCTGCTCATTACAGTAACTATGCACATTTTGCCTTTGTCAATTAAGTGCCCTTCTTGGCCCCTGCCACATAAGGATCCAGTTAACTCCATTGCATTTAGGTATACTGGTTCAGTGGCAGTAGTTTCCACTGTAATTTCTGACTTACAGAGAAGAGCAACCACAAAGCTTTTCAAGGTTGCAGGGGCTCTCTTCACAAATTTATTTCTCATAGTCATGAAAGGTGTGTTTTTTTGGCCCCTCCAGGGTAAGTGAGCAGGTCTTACATGATAAATCCACTTTAACATTCCAATCTCCCTAAACCTTTGGATACAATATACCAACGCAGTTCTGGCATTTCAACTTTATTTAGTGTAGGCCACCTTTTGGTCCATGTTCCAACCAACCAACCAACCAGTTAGGGCTTTTTCTAACCCCTTGAGCTGCATCATTGAATCCATAATCTCTGATTAGTGGGCCCATATCAATACATTCAACCTGATCCAACCTTATGTTCTTCCCACAATGATCTCACACTTTTAATATCCATTCTCACATATATTCCCCAGATTTCTGTCTGTATAAGTTGGAAAAATCATGCAGATCTTTTGATCTCTAGCATACGTCCTCATT